CTCCCCCTCGCTGCGGTGGCCAGACCCCATGGCTCCAGTCGTTTTTCCTGGTCTTCGGGGATGGTTTTGGGCTTCGCTTTATATTGATACTAGCCTTAATTAGATATATTTAATTCCTATTAACTTGTCGACGCATTAAAACGGGATGATTAGTGCATTTGCACCAGAGTTGTCAACCTATCAACTTGCAAGGCCCCGGCCGCTCTCACTCGTTATCGAGACACGTAACAGTGCTGGGGTGCACTTAATTAATTAATTATAAGCGCTTAATTTATATATTACTACTGAATTAATCCTATGGTTTTATTACATTTAAGGCCTAATTGCAAGTAATCTATCGGCGTCAAAACGGCCAAATTTCAAGTAACTCAAGCGCGATGTGATACGCGATGCGATTTTCAGTAGTACTATTTAATTAGCTTTTTTAAACACAAATATACTTCATTTGTGGACATCTTAAAAAATGTTTTTTATGGTACCGCATTTTAATGGCCAAAATCACGTAAAAATACGATTTTCTCGCCGATTCCGAAGTTCGAATGATCATTTCAAGCAAATTTTGGTGGTTTTTAGTCTATTTTAAAGAATTGTTATGGTTTTTCGATGTTTTTAAACGTTTTTGAACCCATGTAAATCGAGATTTCTGACGTCCAAATATCTGTTTTCTCATCCGTTCAACCATTTCGTAGTTTCGCTCAAAAATCTTCACCTCTTCGGACTCGGGATTTTCCGGCTTGATCGCGGATTCCGGGGATTATCCGCTTTTTAGCTGAGGAAAGGAGGCACGCGGGGACAAAAATATCACCCCTCAACTCTTGTATAAGCCGCGATGCCGCGAAAATGCCAGAGGGATGGGATTTGGGTGCCATTCGTAGTGTCGACCGGAAAACGGATAAATAGGCTGCTTCAATAGTTGATTTTGGAGTTTTTGCAGCTTTGTTAATTTAGCGAATTTTGACTTTTTGTATTATAATTTTAGGAGTTTAAAAATCTGAAAATCGTGAAAATCTTGTAACGTCTCGCAGAAGATGTTTTATTCCTGAATATACTTCACTTTTCGCAAGGCATTGAGCAAACTTTTGCCAGTATCTCTTTCGCCAATTTTTCAGCTTTGTAGTGCTAGAAAAATCAATTGAGTCCGATATTCCTACGTCGAGTTTTGGCCAGTTTAATCATACGCTAATTTACATCCTACTAAAAAATTTTTGTTAGAATAGGCAGATTTTTGTATCATCGAATTCACCCTTTTCTGGGCTTTCGGAATGCGATAAAAATCATCCCAATCTCATTTTTCTACGTCGAGATATAACGAGTTTCCAAAAAATCCTAGTTTGCATCCGAACGCCCGCAAGTTTCCGGCTTTTCCTACCATTTTTAACGCTTTTCTATACCTTTTATGCGCTTTATATTTGGCAATTATTTATCGTTGTCTTTATTTCCATTCTCAAGCGTCATCACGGCTCCAAATTCCAGCCAAAATATTCGGGATGTCGGCCATCGTGCAGCAGGGCGCAAACCCGTGGCCCATCGCCTTCCACAGGATGACGTCGGTGGAAGAGCTCGACAATTCGTTGACCCTCCTCACGCATTCAGGTGCAAAAATTCGCGCATTAATAGACGAAAATCCTGTGTTAGGCCATCGTCTTTCCCTAACCTCGATGACGCCGCCTAGCTCCCCCTATACGGCACTGTCCCCTGAACAGTCGTCCATGGATTCCGACTCTGGACTTTTGACGCCGGTGCCGGAAAGTCCGAGGATTTGCGAGAAGCTCCACCCCAACACCCCGATTACGCCTTCGGACACGAGGCGGCAACTTTTTGTGAGAGTACCGGAGGTGGAGAGCAGGTGAGGACCAGTTTTTGTTTTGGTAGGGCAAAATCAAAAGATTATTGCGTGAGGGGTTCGAACCAGGACCGTATTCTTGAGAGACTGGAACACTAACCATTTGACTAACTGCAGAGGAGGTTCAGCTCAGTTTTATAGCTTTAATATTATTTTTTGTGACGCTGACTTTGCACTTTTTCAGTTAATTTTTTGCTCTTTACATGACGTAACCGATTCAATTAATTTTTTTTTATTACTGCACCGATTTGGAATTCAATACAAAAGGAATTTCAAAATCGATCTTTTGGAAATCTTGTAGTTGTAAAGTAAAATTACAGTATTTTTCGTGTGATCCGAAGGGGGTAACCAGCAAGGGCGCTTGAGGAATCTGATTTTCAAAAAAATTTATATGGTCATTAAGAAGAAAAAAATTAATAAAAAAGCTTTTTCAGAAACATCTTACGCTTTTCCAACCCTTTAAATGCCATAATCGCACTTCATACAATTTTTAAAAATTTCTCGTTAATTTTTATGACATTACCGGTTTAAATCCAAATTTCGCTATAGTCTGACCACCCTCAAGTACCCTCATTCGTTCACACTGAACTTTTCCATCCCCATATCTCCCCCACGCATCTCACCTTGTAATCTTGACAATTTTACGGCCCAAGTAACTCCCCAAAAAAACTGGTCCCATTTTTCGGCCATTTTCCTCCACCTCCTCAGCGGACCTTTGTACCCGTCGGGAACACACAAAAAATCCAAACACATCGGGGTGCTTATCAGATGGACGCCCAAAAAAGCGTTGAAACGGGGAAGTAAACAACCAAAACGAGATTACGGTATTGATCCACGTTATCGGAAGGTGGTAGGCTTAAGGTATTGAACTTTGTCTCTCTCTCTCGCTCGCTGCTCTCTCTCGCTCTCTCTCTTTCTCTCTCTCTCGCTCTCTCTCTCTCTCCTCTCTCTCGCTCTCTCTCTCGCTTTCTCTCTCGCTTTCTATCTCGCTTTCTCTCAATCTTTCTCTCTCTCTTTCTCTCTCTCTCTCTCTCTCTCTCTCTCTCTCTCTCTGCCCTTCTAGAAGTCGTTTTCCATAGCATCCTCTCGCTTTCGCCCTCCCTCCCTCTCTATCTTCTCTCACTCTCACTCACCCTATCACTCTCTGACTCTCTCTTCCGCTCCATCTATCCCTCTCACTCCATCTTCCTCTCGCCTCAAAAACACGAGAATCCATTCCTTTGTCTCCCTATCTCTAACCTGACGTCTCCCGACCACCGCCAGCCATTTTTTTCAGGGCTATTTTGGGGCACCCAGGTGGCTTGGGGCAGAGATTAGGCTGAAAAGCTTGAGGGTGCTTACTGATAAAGTACTGTTTTGAGACTTTGGCATTGCGTGGGATCAGAGCGTTCAGAGATCGGGGTGAAATAGGGGTTTAAGGGACATGGAAGGCAGAAAAATATCTTGTAAGTTGGAGGAAAGTACCGTACCCTGGAAAATGAGGTGGCTGATGGTAGAAAGCTGAATTAAGGAGTATATACAACCCATTTCAGCTCCCAAAACGCTCAACTAAACGTGATCGCCATCGACAACAAGATTGAGCAGGCGATGGACCTAGTCAAAACACATTTGACGTTTGCGGTTCGAGAAGAGGTTGAGGTGTTGCGGACGACGATCATGGATTTGGAGTCGAAGGTGAGAGAGGGAGAGCGAGTGAGAGAGAGTAAGAGTGAGTGAGAGAGAAAGAGAGGGAGGGAAGAGAGCGAGAGAGAGGGAGAGGGAGAGATAGAGTGCGAGTGGTAGAGTCAGAGTGAGAGTGAGATAGATAGATAGAGAGAGAGAAAAAGAAAGAGAGTGATTGTGACAGAGAGAGACTAAGTGCGAGATGAAAAGCGGGTCAGCGTGAGAGAGAGAGAGTGAGAGAAAGAGAGAGAGAGAAGCATACTTACCTAAAGTTTCATATTTTAGATCCAACTCCTCGAAGCCCAAAACTACATAATGCGCCAATACGTGCCGACAGAGCTGCATAAATACATCCCGCGCAATCCGGAGGAGGTAAGGATCCGAAAAATCTAAAATTTAGTTGGTAAAAAATTTAAAATGAGAATTTAATTAATATCCTAATCACTTAAAAATATCTTAAGGAACCCTGATTTTATCTGTTTTTATACTTTCAGGATCCCTCCAACCAATAATCACGACGACGTTCCGCTCCTCTGGACGCGGTTTCCACAAGCCACAATTCCCTTTCGCCAGCTGAATATTGCCATTTTTGCAATTTTCCACACCAATTTTTTTGTTCCCGGCGATTAGTCAGCTACCCCCGGAATTCCAGAATCCGTGTGAATTCGCTTTATATGAACTGCGCTAATATTCCCTTCTTCAATATCGTAGTTGACGATAGGCTACGCTACTGTACAGTGTACACCCACCTGTATTTTCATCCTGTCTTTGTTGAGTGCTGTGCTAGCCTTGGATTTTTTTTAAAGGGACTTGGAAGGCGGGAAATCGTGGACTTTGGATTTTTAGAGGGCTGGATATCTCATTTTTGGTATTTTTGGCAGTTTTGATTACTGTAGCCTAGATCGTAACGGATTTTATGTGGATAATACGCTACTTTACTTTGCATTCTAAACGTACTAAATATCGTATTTAAGTCACTTAAAGTGAAAATAGGCTATAATACTTTGTACTTGAGTTATTGTAGTTGCACCATATCGGGCTCCATAGGATACTCCATCTAGAAATTACAACTATTTGAAACTCGTAAATTTTGTCTGAAATTCATCCTTCCAGGTTCCTTTAATCGCGATTTTTCTTCATACTCTGCTATCCTCCATTACGGTATCTTTTTAAGGGAAGTGCAACTTTTTTGCTAGAAATTCCGTCTTGCACCAGATTACAGCAACCGAATGCCTGGCGGAGCATTCCGGAACTTTTCCGAAAGTTGCAGATCCCTTTAAAAATTCTTTTCCCACTCGTTATTGCGTTCCACTCCGGGTTCCCCGATTCATATTTTCGATTTTCCGATTTTATGCTAATTTCTGACGTCTTTTTGCGTTGTTTCTGACATAGTTTGTTGTACCTATCATGTGTGTTGCCAGAAAAGAGAAAAGAGACGATAAAAGTTGGTCATTTATCCATTCGTAGAAATCTCACAACATCTTTTTCAGGGTCAGGCTTTCCTGGCTTTCTGTACAGGTTTCTTGGGCTTTTTCGTGATAGTCTTGGTGATCGGCGACTTTTTGGCTTTCGGGAGGTTGAGGTGGCCGGAGATCTGGAAATGGGTGTAAATAATCAATTTTTCTGATTTGAATCTTGTCTTCTAGGGATTCGTCGGTTTCTAGTATAAATGCGACCTACACGCTACGAAATTCCGAGTTAATCGGTTCTCAACATCCAAGCGACACGACGCTATGCAACACTACATGAAGCCACGCAACACCAAACGACGCTACGCAACGCTACACGACGCTACTCAGCGTTACATGACGCCTAGCGACGCTACAGCTACACGACGCCAGGCCACAAAACGCTACACAACGCCACACGACGCTACGCTAGCTGTGCTACATGACGTTACGCCGGCAAGAGGCCAAGACGTGTGCTATTTTTAGAGAGTATCTCGGCCTAGTTTTCAAAAGATAAATCCGTATTTTCCCCGCCTTACCACCTTGTAAGGTATTTCTGAAACCGTGCGCACTAATAGTCGATTCATAGGTTTCGCGGAATTAAAGCGAAAGGTATAGTACTTCTGACACCCGAGAATACCGGAACTGTTGCGAAAATAAAATAGCCTAGTTTTTGCGTATACAAAGGTAATTTCGTTATTGCGAAAGATTTCGCAATTTTCCTCACCTGGAAAGGCACAGCCATCCTGCACTTCTTCTCCTCATCCCACGACATTGGCCAGCCGCCGGTCGATGGGGTGTACATCGGGCGGAAAGAGCCAAACTCCGCGCCCTCCTGAAATTCAATTTGATTTTTAATAGATTACGACATGTAATTACCTTCATCTGGCAGCCCAAATTGTCGAAGAGGATCGGGATGAAGCACTCGCTCTGCTTGTCATATTCCATGAATGTTGCCTGGAAATAAGGTTATCACGAAAGAAAGAAAGACAGAGAGAGAGAGAGAAAGAGCGAGAGAGAGGGAGATAACTCACCCCATTCCGTCTCCGATCCATCACATTACTTCCAGCCTTTGTCGTAGCGTTAGATTTGAATTGCTTCGAGATGAACCCATTCGATTTCTTGTCCATTCCAGGTTTCAGCTTGGCCCAGTCGACGTTACCCGTCTAAACAGACTTTTAAATTGGAGCGAAAGGAGTAAGAGAGAACGAGAGAGAGAAAGAGAGAGAGAGAGAGAGAGAGAGAGAGAGGGAGAAAGAGATAGTGGGCAAAAACAAAAGCTCTTACCTGTGTCCTCAACTGGCCATACGAGGGTATGTCGCCTTGATGAACGTTGATGCCCCGATTTACGTAAGGTATCACGCCTTCCGTTAACCGCATCTGAATTTTCTGGATTTACACGCATTTTACAGGAGGTAAAATAGCAAAAAAAAGATTTAGAAGTTCGAGAAAACAGAGCGGTTCTTGTTCGTCTGTACACGCTATCTAATTCTCGGAGCCTGACCTGATGCGGCGCTCGGCGTCTCTTGACTAAAACCGTTTTTAATTTTGAAAGCCGATTCTAATATTCATATTATTAGTGCAACAATAAAAATACATACGGTAGTACAATACGAAACTACAAAAGTTATAGAAATCGTAAAATCCTACCTTCTCCGGACTGACTTTATACTCGTGGTGATCCACGATATCTGGCAAGTTCCCTCGCACTGATCCAAACGGATTCTCACCAGTTCTAGAAAGTTTTTTAGTTTGTAGTCCTTAAGTTTAGGATGTTTCTTCAACCCGCCCTATGCTCTTAAAAAAAGTGTCACATACCTATGCGCAAACTTGGTCTCATCGTTCCACATCGGGAGTACGGTCTCGGACTTGAGGGCGCCCTGAAATAACAGTTTCTAGTACAAGAAGTAAGTAAGTATTAACTATCTACAGCCCTAATAGATCTTGTACCTCTTTCAACGGCTTCTCGCCATGGTCAACCTTGACATTTTCCATTCGAGGTTGGCCGAAGGCACCCATTCCGGCTTGAGTTTCCAGGGCTGGCGTTTGTTCCCACGGGATCACGAATGGAATGGCGACGTCGCTAAAGGTATAGATTACGCCATGAAATTATGTGAGAGAGAGCGAGAGAGAAGAGAGAAAGATAGATAGACTCTAAAAACTTACGTATGCTGCGGTTTTCTCAAGTATCTCTTCGTCGGCCGTTCCGCATCCGGCTCCCGATTCCGTTCAATAATCGACTTTATCAAGGGCTCGGTGCTAAAAATAGAATTAACTTTTCTAAAGCTCTATAGGTATTCCAAAATTCAAACTACAAACTTCAAAGGTATCGCTTCTGGCGGCGGCTTCGGCGGTGGGCACCACTTGAGCTTCTTTGGTTCCTTCGGTTTCTTCTCCTTCTTGGGCTTGGGCTCTTTCTTTTTCTTCTCCTTCGGCTTCTTCTTCTTCTTTTTGGGCTTCTTGGCAAATGCGGTCATATCAAAATGAGAATCCTTACCTCTTCCGGCTCCTCCTCATCTTCCATCGGTTCTTCTTCATCTCCCTCTTCCGGTTCTTCCTCATCTTCGTCAGCGTCCTCATCCTCGGGCTCTTCATCTAAAAAGCTAGGTAAATGCGGCAAGCTAGCAGTGATTCTTTAGGAAGCAAAATAAAAAGTTACCTAGAATAAAAATTTATATAGACGCGGAACTAGCCATTAATGCGCGAACTCATGTGTCTCAAAATCGCGATCTTGCGACTTCAAACTCCAAAATTTCCAAACCCAACCCACCTTCCGGATCTTTCTTCTTCGGGGCAGCCTTCTTTTTCGGTTTCAACGGAATCGTGGCATCGGTTTCCGGTTCCTCGTCATCCTCCGCTGGCTTGAACTTTGGTGCGGGCTTTTGCTTGGCGGGAGCATCAACCAGATCAGCCGGGTCGTCCGAGTCCTTCGGCTTCTTCTTTGGCGCTGCTTTCTTGGGCAAGGGTACTGTTGCGTCGGCTTCTGGCTCCTCATCGTCGTCCGCAGGTTTGACTTTCGGTGCAGGTTTTGCTGCGGGCTTTGCAGCAGGCTTAGCGGCTGGTTTGGCGGCTGGTTTGGCAGCGGCGGGTTTTTTAGGTAGAGGTAGTGTCGCGTCGGTGCCAGGCTCATCGTCGTCTTCAGCAGGCTTGACTTTAGGAGCTGGTTTTGCCGCTGGCTTTGCTGCTGGCTTGGCTGCCGGTTTTGCAGCTACTGGCTTCTTTGGTAGAGGCACAGTTGCGTCTGTTTCCGGCTCCTCGTCATCATCTGTGGGTTTAACTTTCGGAGCAGGCTTGGCTGCAGGCTTCACTGGAGCTTTTGCTGCTGGCTTTGCCGCTGGTTTCGCAGCTGCTGGCTTCTTAGGAAGCGGCAGAGTAGCGTCAGTATCCGGCTCTTCGTCGTCTTCAGTAGGTTTCACTTTAGGAGCGGGCTTGGCAGCTGGTTTTGCAGCTGCAGGCTTTGCCGGCGCCTTGGTCACTGGTGCTACCGGCTTCTTTGGCAGTGGAATGCTGACCTCCTCAGCAGGTTCTTCATCATCTGAGGTTGGCTTGACTTTCAGGGGTGCTTTTGGAGCAGGCTTAGCAGCTGCTGGTTTTGCTGGAGCAGCAGCAGGCTTGGCAGGCGTAGCAGCCGCCGGCTTGGCTGGAGCTTTCGTCACCGGCGCAACCGGCTTCTTGGGCAATGGGATGCTAACCTCCTCAGCCGGTTCTTCATCATCAGAGGTAGGTTTAACTTTGAGCGGTGCTTTAGGTGCTGGTTTCGCAGCTGCAGGCTTGGCCGGCGTGGCAGCTGCAGGCTTCGTCGGAGCAGCAGCGGGCTTCGCAACTGGCTTAGGAGCGGCTGCTGCGGGCTTAGCGGGATCAGCTGGTTTGGCTGCAGCTGGCTTGACTGGAGCTTTAGTTACTGGTGCTACCGGCTTCTTCGGCAATGGGATGCTGACCTCTTCGGCCGGTTCCTCATCGTCAGAAGTAGGCTTGAGCTTGAGTGGGGCTTTCGAAGCAGGCTTCGCTGGTGTAGCTGATGGCTTAGCTGGTGCTGCCGCAGCAGGTTTCGCTGGTGTAGCAGCAAGTTTAGCGGGCGTTGCAGCAGCGGGCTTCGCCGGAACCGCTGCGGCCGGCTTCTTTGGTTCCTCGCTCGGATCCATGAACTTGGGCACCGGTTTCTTGGCTGTGGGTCCACCAAGCAAGTCAGCTGGGTCTTCGCTGTCTCCTGGCTTTTTCGGCGCAGGCTTGACTGGAGCTTTGGTTACCGGTGCGACCGGCTTCTTAGGCAATGGGATGCTCACTTCCTCAGCCGGCTCTTCATCGTCTGAAGTCGGTTTCAGCTTTAGAGGGGCTTTTGGTGCAGGCTTCGCTGCCGCTGGTTTCGTAGTGGGCTTGGCAGGCTCAGTCGGCTTGGCCGGAGTAGCAGCTGCAGGCTTAGCGGGAGCGGCAACCGGTTTGGCCGCTGTAGGTTTTGCGGGCTCAGCAGGCTTCACTGGAGCTTTAGTCACCGGGACTACGGGTTTCTTAGGAAGTGGGATGCTGATTTCCTCAGCAGGTTCCTCATCTTCGGGCAGCTTGAGCTTTGGAACAGGTTTAGCAGCTGGCTTGGCTGGGGCCGCGGTACCAGGCTTGATTGGAGCAGCAGCTGCCGGCTTCTTCGGTTCCTCGCTTGGATCCTTGAATTTCGGTGCCGGTTTCTTGGCTGTAGGACCTCCAAGTAGATCTGCTGGATTTTCAGAATCCGAAGGCTTCACAGGTGCTCTCGTCATCGGAGCTACAGGCTTCTTCGGCAACGGGATGCTGACCTCTTCCGCTGGTTCTTCATCATCTGAACTCGGTTTGAGCTTGAGGGGAGCTTTGGGTGCAGGCTTCGCCACTGGTTTGGCCGCTGCAGGTTTTGCTGGCTCGGCCGGTTTAGCTGGAGTCGCAGCTACAGGCTTAGCTGGAGCAGCAGGCTTAGAAGCTGTTGGCTTCGCTGGCTCAGCCGGCTTGGCAGGAGCCTTGGTCACAGGAGCTACCGGCTTCTTCGGAAGGGGAATACTGACCTCTTCCGCTGGTTCCTCATCATCTGAACTAGGTTTGAGCTTGAGGGGAGCTTTGGGTGCAGGCTTAGTCACCGGTTTGGCCGTTGCAGGTTTTGCTGGCTCGACAGGTTTAGCTGGGGTCGCAGCCGCAGGCTTGGCTGGGGCAGCAGCGGGTTTAGCTGCAACTGGCTTCACCGGCTCAGTCGGCTTAGCAGGGGCTTTGGTGACCGGAGCTACCGGTTTCTTCGGCAAAGGAATACTAATCTCTTCAGCCGGTTCCTCATCGTCAGAAGTGGGTTTGAGCTTGAGCGGTGCTTTGGAGGCTGGCTTAGCTGGTGCTGCAGTTACGGGCTTGACCGGGACAGCAGCAGGTTTCGCCGGGGTTGCGGCAGCTGGTTTGGCCGGTGTAGCAGCTGCCGGCTTCTTCGGCTCCTCACTGGGATCCTTGAACTTGGGCACCGGTTTCTTCGCTGTGGGGCCCCCAAGTAGATCAGCTGGGGCTTCACTATCGCCCGGCTTGGCAACAGCCGGCTTCACTGGAGCTTTTGTCACCGGCGCGACCGGTTTTTTCGGTAATGGGATACTGACTTCCTCAGCCGGTTCTTCATCATCTGAACTTGGCTTAAGCTTGAGGGGTGCTTTTGGTGCAGCAGGTTTTGCGGCTGCAGGTTTGGCTGGAGTGGCGGCTGCAGGCTTCACTGGTTCTGTAGGCTTGGCCGCTGCTGGTTTGGCCGGCGTTGCAGCTACTGGCTTCGCTGGTTCAGCTGATTTTACTGGTGCCTTCGTCACTGGCGCTACCGCCTTCTTTGGCAATGGAATACTCACTTCCTCAGTAGGTTCCTCATCTTCAGGTAGCTTAAGCTTGGGCACAGGCTTGGCAGCTGTTGGCTTTACTGGGGTCGCAGCTGCCGGCTTTTTAGGCTCTTCCGCGGTCGGGTCTTTGAACTTCGGCGCGGGCGCCACCTTTTTAGCCGGGCCACCAAGTGGTTCAGCCGGTGTTTCTTTATCCCCAGGCTTGGCAGAGCGGGCGCGTTTGAGGCTGGCTTCAACCCCAGGCTTCGGCTCCTCGCTTGGTTCCTTGAACTTCGGAAGTGGAGTCGTTTTCTTCGGTGCTGCACCAAGGGGTTCAGCAGGTGTTTCCTTGTCTCCCGGTTTTGCTGGGGTGGCAGGCTTAGCGGCTGGTTTAGCAGCAGCCGGTTTTGCAGCAGCAGGCTTAGGTTCCTCACTCGGGTCCTTGAACTTGGGGGCCGGAGTAACCTTCTTCGGCGGCGAGCCCAGCGGTTCAGCGGGGATTTCAGAGTCTCCGGGCTTAGCTGGTGTAGCTGGCTTAGCGACCGGCTTTGCAGCAGCTGGCTTCACCGGTGCAGCGGTTGCAGGTTTCTTGGGTTCTTCAGCGCTCGGATCCTTGAACTTCGGGATTGGAGTAACCTTCTTAGGTGGCGCACCAAGTGGTTCAGCCGGGACTTCAGAATCTCCGGGCTTGACTGGTGTAGCTGGCTTCGCGACCGGTTTTGCAGCAGCTGGCTTGGCCGGTACAGCAGGCGGCCGGCTTCTTGGGCTCTTCTGCACTTGGGTCCTTGAACTTCGGCGCAGGTGTGATTTTCTTGGGCGGGGCACCAAGTGGTTTAGCCGGGATTTCAGAGTCTCCAGGTTTGGCTGGCGTAGCAGGCTTGGCGGGTTCAGCAGCGGCCGGCTTCTTGGGCTCTTCTGCGCTCGGATCCTTGAATTTCGGGGCTGGCGTCACTTTCTTAGCTGGCGCACCAAGCGGCTCAGCCGGAACTTCCTTGTCTCCAGGCTTGGCAGGCGTAGCAGGCTTTGCTACTGGCTTAGCAGCAGGCTTCGGCTCCTCACTCGGATCCTTGAACTTCGGCATCGGTGTGGCTTTTTTAGCTGGTGCAGCGCCAAGAGGTTCAGCGGGAACCTCCTTGTCTCCCGGCTTAGCTGGTGTAGCAGGCTTGGCAGCCACCGGTTTCTTCGGCAAGGGCAGCGTCGCATCAGCTTCTGGCTCGGTTTTTAGTTTTGGCACCGGCTTGGCAGGAGGTTTTGCAGCTGCGGGCTTGGGTTCCTCGCCAGGTGCCTTAAACTTTGGAGTTACTGCCGGCTTCTTGGGAGCTTCAGACAAGAGATCAGCTGGGATTTCGCCATCTACCGGCTTCTTGGTAGTGGGTGCCGGTTTTTTAGGCAAAGCCAGCGTAGCTGCAGCTTCCGGTTCATCTCCGGGTAGCTTAATTTTTGGAATAGGCTTGGCAGCTGGCTTAGCGGCTTCTCCCGGCTTTGCTACTGGCTTAGCGGGCTCAGCTGGCTTTGTGCCCGGCTTTGCGGCTTCTGCAGGCTTCGCAACCGGCTTGGCAGGCTCAGCCGCTTTGCCTACTGGCTTCACCGGGTCCTTAAAGTTGATAGTCGGTGTTTTCTTTGTCGAAGCCGGACCTCCCAAGTCTCGCACGGAATCTCCTCATCGAAACTTGGCTTGGACGGAGCTTTTGAAGCCGGCTTGGCAAGTGGCTTCGTAGTCCCGGTCACTTCCGGTTTCTTCAGATCTCCAGGCTTTGTCGTCAGAGCAGTTTTTGGGTCTTTTGAAGCAGCTTCACCCGGCTTTGCTGCCGGCTTTGCAGCTGCTTTTTCCGGTTCCTTGAACGCAATCTTCGGCTCCTTCTTGGCGGCCGGTTTTCCGATCTCCTCACATGGGACCTCGTCCTCAGAGGGTTTTGAAGCAAGTTTTGGAGTCGGCTTGGCAGGCTCGACTTTCTTAGGCTCAGGCTTCTTTGCTTTAGGCTCAGCCAGGGTGAAGCTTTCACCGTAGAACACCATGGGTGGCTCTTTCGGCTCTTCCGGTTTCGGCTTGTCAGGCTCCGGCAACTTCGTCGAGGCTGAAGCTGGAATATTCAAGGGGGCAGGTTTTCCCTTCTTCACCGGAGCCTCAGCTGGCTTCACAGGCTCAGTCTTGGGCTTGAAGCTGAAGCTCGATTCTGGCTCATCTTTCTTCGCCTCTGGCTTTTTCACGGGTAGGGAAAAAGCGGCGTCGACTTCGGGCTCCTCATCAACTTTGAGTTTTAGCGGTTTCTTTTCATTCTTTTTGGGGAGAGCGAGCTTGACCTCCACTTCCGGCTCGGCCGCGTCCTTGAGCTTCGGGAACTTGGCGTCGTCTTTTTTGGAATCGCCAATTGGTGCGACTTCTTCTTCGGACTCCTCATCGGTGTAGTAGGACCATTCTTCGTCTGACCACTCTTCGTCCTCATCCTGAAAAGAAAAGCATGTTTTTTAGTTTCCGCTCCTTTTTAGCAAAAAAATTAAAATTTTTTATAAAAATATTGCGTTCCTGATCCCTTTAAAAGCTTCGACTAATTTTTTCGCAAGCCTACCTCCTCGCTCGCCTCATCTTGCTTTACAGGAGCCGGCACTGGCTTTGGCGGATCTTTTTTCAATGTCGGAAGGCTAAAACAAAACAAATATAGTTTGTGAAGTAATTTCTTGCCTAAACGTAGCAGTAGTTTGAGGTGTCTGCGGCGTCTGAGGCTCATCCTTCACTTTTAGCTCGCTCTTTCTCGGGCTTTTTCTCATCCTCCTTTTTCTTCTCGTCCTTCAGCTTGGGAAAAGCTTCTTGAAGCTGAGGGGCAGCTGGCTCTTCTTCATCGGTCTGAAAATAGAAATTAAAGGATCCTGGAATTCATAATATGGATCTTTAGAGTTAAGTAGTTCTTGCGACACGCAACTCGCGATAGCCTACCGGTTGCGTGTCGCGGCTGCCAGAAAGCGCAACCTTTACAACCTACCTCTGTGTAGTACGACCACTCCGACTCGTCCTCCTCCTCCTCTTCGTCATAGCTGTACTCTTCGACACTGATCTAAATCAATTTGCGTAATTAAGACATTTTTTGGTGGTTCTTAGGTTCTGCAGCACTCCAAATAGCGTGTAGCCTTTGTCTGTGCTATCGAAAAAGTGCAAAAATGTGACTTGGTGCTAGGGAAGATTGAAAAAAACAAAAACCTCTAAAGTCTGGAAAGTGTAGAGAGAAAGAGGGGATAGAGAAAAGTGTAGGCTACATAGCACACCGATGTACGAAACGAATGTGGCATTACTTTTCCCTTTTTCAGCCTCAGCTTGAAATAGCCGTGGATCGTGAAATCGCAGGTGAATTCCTGAACAAAAGATCTAAGATTCAGGAGAAACCATAAAACGGTTAAAACGGTAAATCTATTAAAGTTTCGGTTCATGCCCTCTAGCTTGAGTTTAAAGGGCACGTTCAGGGACGTTTTGTTGGAAAAAATCAAAGAGTCTGGCCGCGGCCGGGGGGTCGAACCCGGGCCCCCCGCTCGGGAGGCGCGGATGGATACCAGTCAGCCACAGCCACAACCTGGCGAGGGGGCGAGGGGCGCCCCACGCCGCAAAGGAGGGGAATGGCCTGTCACAGCATGGGCAGGCAGTGCGCGCGGTCCCTACGTCCATAGGGTGTACACGTTGGGACGAGTACACGGCCCCTCCCTGAACGTGCGCTTTAAGATTCGATTTTAGCGAGATACCGTAACTATAAAAAGAAAGAGCAGGGCGCGCAGCAGGAATTTCATTTTAACGTTGCAGGAATTTTTGTGGCGCAGCTTCGACAGTTAAAAACCGAAAAAACCCGCTTTTGAAAGACACTAAAACCCGACAAACTGCGGTATTTCGAAGATCATGGGACAAAAACAGTTTTCTTTCGATCTGAAGCCTAATTGTGCTAATACGAAGCCTGAATACAATCTCATTAAAGGGCCAGTTTTATCAAAGTAACGTAATCAGAGAGTAGAGCATTATTCCGGCTCTTGCATCTAAAAATACGGCATTTTCACACTTTCCGATAGAAACAACAACAACAAAAGCATGCGCTCACCTCATCATTCGCCGCCATCCGTCATCCAAGCACCGTAATCCACTAGCAATTGGCAAAAAGCCAGGGAATTCAAGTTCGTAGTCGATATCAGATAGCAAGCCGGGATCACTACTATTGATTCAATCGGATCAAAGAGAGGATTAGAGGCCAAACACGAGAGAGAGTGAGCCGGTGGCAAGTCGATTTTTGAGGCCCCCTTTTCGCTCTGGGGGCCCAGTGAGCCTGAGGGTCTTTTGAGCGATCTATTGCGGCACAGACGGGATGGGGCTGTTTGACGACAGTCGGGAATGGAGAGAGAGAGAGAGAGAGAGAGAGACAGAGAGAGGGAGAGAGAACGAGGAATAGAACAATGCCACGAGCTCGAGAGAGGTGAGCATGAGGGTGCCGACAGCCTCCCATAGCTTGGGGCATCCGGTGCGGGGGATCGGGGGCCCATTCTCTCTTGCTTGCTCTCTTCCTCTCTCGCCACCGGAGCATGAGGTTAGGCCCAAAGGGCACAGGTTGATATTTTTTAACTCGCTTAAAAAAGTGGCAATGGAGCATGAGACCGCAGATTGGAGCACGAGTGACCGATAAAGAAAGTCAGAAAGGAGAGAAAGAGAGAGAGAGAGAGCGAGAGAGAGAGAGAGAAACCAAACTCAAAACCATTTATTCAACAAAGCGACGACCAAATTTAATGCAATCATAGGGCGAGTATCCGGAATGAAAAGTCGTTGAGTTTCGATTGTTGGCTGCCAGGAGAATTGTCGTTGCGATGAAAATTTGGGTTTTTGTGTGGGGGGCGAGTAGTTGAAGGAGTTGGGGCGGAGGATGAGGTCGGGCACGAGAAGCCGGGGAGCCGATCACATGATGGAGCAGGTGCTGTAGTGGTAGCAGCACTGGAAAAGATGGTTTTTCAGAGCTCAGAAAATTCGGAGATACCGGATCACAGCAGTAGCCATAGCCGGGGCAACCTCCGTAGTACGGTGGCGGCTGAAAAAAAAGATGTAAAGATGTAAAATCGGGAATGTCTGTAGCTCTATCTTCAACTCTCTCTCTCACTCTCTCTCTCTCGATCACACTCTCTCTCTTTCCCTCGCTCTCTCTCGCTCTCTCTTTCTCGCTCTCTCCCTCTCTCTCTCTCACCGGGTAGTAGTAGGCCGGCGGCGGGGCGGGCGATTGCACGTAGACGACCTGCGGCGGCTGCTGCTGCTGGACCACGATGGGGGCCTAGAATTTCCGGGGAATGCATGCATCCTAAAACTTGTCCAACCTGTTGCTGGGGGCGGTACTGCGGCTGCTGCTGGGCGTACTGTGGCTGCGGTGCGTACTGCTGTTGTGGCGCGTACTGTTGCTGCGGGTACTGCGGAGGCGGAGCCTGGAAATAAGGGAATTTCCTCAGAGCGAGAGAGAGAGAGAGAGAGAGACAGAGAGCGATACCTGCTGCTGCTGCTGCCCGACGTACTGCGACTGCTGCTGGAAGCCCTTCGGCGCCTTGGTTTTCTGGAAAACAAAACGGTAAGACACTTAGAATTCAAATATTAGAGTTTCGCTTGATAATTTGCGCTAAACCTCAAAAGCGTAAGAAACATACAACGGGCATCCTGGGGGATTGCGTAGAAGTAAAATAAAAGAATTTTCTGAAAAGAAGAATTTTTACGAATTTGCCGGCTTATGGTAATTTGGATGCAAATTCAGGGCCAGTTATTTTTTTACTAAATGCTAATTTTCTAGCAGGAGAAAGATCGACACGGTTTTTTGGCCATTTTTGCCTTTGTATTTGTGCGTGTCCGCGGCGCCTAGCGGTGCGTCGCGTTGCGCGTCGCGGCAGATCAGAGCTTGTAGCGCTTCCTTGCCCGTCTAGCTCGAATTCGATACCTTCTTCTTCGGCTTGACCACTGGAGACTGGGCGATTTGGTCGGCCGGCGTCGGTGGGGTTTGCGGCGACAAATCCGGCGACTTCTTCCCGGACTGCAAAAGTCGAGGTATAAAAAGTAATGGAAGACGGGAAAGCACAAGCCTCGATGCTACAAAAACCATACCTGATCGGGTGAAGCCGGTGCGGATCCGGGCTTCTCCGGGAAGTATTCACTCCTCGGGGCCGATCCGGAGTAGTCAGAGGGGGATGGAATCTGGACGATTTAAATGATTTTTGAAGCTGAAGGGCATCTACGAGGCTTGGCGGCTTCGGCGAAAAACCTTGCGGAGACGGCGCCTTGGGCCTTTCTCCAGGGGCAGGCAGGTACTCACTTCGGGCCTCTTTCGGCTGAAAAAAACAGTTTTTAGAGTATTGGATTTTCTCGATTTAGTTTCGGTTCTTGGTCGTTAGCGGGGGGGGGGGCTGTTCCTACTGTGGCCCAGTATGAATTGCCCCCGCTAGGAGACATGTACCAAAACGTTTCTTAGCGTCCACATCCTATACTAACAACGCATGCGTACCTGTTGTCCAACGTATTGAGAAGGCTGTGGCTGCCGCTGAGGAGCGGTAGGTGGAGGAGGGGGCGGAGGCGGTGGAGGTGGCGGGGCCTGCCTCGGGTAGTTGGCTGAGCTCATCTTGCTCTTGGACTTTGACTTCGACTTCGGGTTGGACTTGGCCGGACGCGGTTCGCTTGGTGGCGGCGGGAAGTTCGCGTAGGGTGGTTCCACGGGCTGTGCGGGCTGGAAATAACAAGCTTGACTTGCGGATAGTATGTCTCTCTAGCTCTCTCACTCTCCTTCTCTGACTCTCTCTCTCTCTCTCTCTCTCTCTCTCAATCTCTTTCTCTCTCTCAAGATACCTAACCGACCTGCTGCGGCTGGTAGGGAAGTCGCGCGGGTTGCTGTTGTAGGGATTGATACTGCTGTCCCGGCTGCTGCCCTTGCTGGAGTTGTGCAGGCGGCAGCTGACTTGGAGGTGCTTGTTGCTGTTGTTGCGGCTGAAACATCAGTTATTAGGACAGGAACAAACATAATAATCCGGGTTGCCGTACGATGTAATATGATGCACTACGCAACAGATCACTGGCGTACACTGTACGACGCAAGGCAACGCTACCGTACGCTACAGTGCGATACGTTACGTTTCCTTCTCCACGTTGCGCTTACGATACGCTGCCATATAAAACAGTTCGCTTCGACCCGGAACGCTAAGAAATGTCACGCTTCAGGATGTTCGAGAGACACAGTAGGCTACTGTACGCTAGGGTACGCTACTGTACGCTACTGTACGATACGTGAAAAACGGTTTTGCATACCAAAACCTCCAAGAGAGCGCAAAATACCAGCCGTTGCGTGACTTTTTGAAAGAAAGCGGGAAGCTATGCTACGCTACTATATGATAAGTCACGTTACGACAATGTTCAGTAAGGTACGTCACGCTAGTGTACGCCATACTGATCTGCGCGCCCGTACCGCACACTTATGCCCGTTTCACTACTGCACGCCACGTTATGACGCGCCGTACGATTCCCGTGCGCATCTTGGTAACCTTTAATTGACTGTACTTGTTGAGCCGGCTGCTGCTGTGGGTAGTAGGGCTGGGATAGCGGCGTCATCTGCTGCCGCGGGTAGGAGACGCTCGACGGCGGCTTCTTCTTCGAGGTGCTCTCCGGGAACTAAAAATCACAGTTTTGAAAAGCTGAACGAAAACTTACGCCCATCTTGGCGGTGGGCGAGTACGAAAAATAAGATTTCCGGGGAAACGGTTTTGATTCGTTTGTTGAAGTCAAAAATAATTAGGTAAATTTTCATGCAAATTTCGTTGCTTATGCAAATTTTAAGGATGCCTAAATTTTTTATCATTCTCTGTGCATATTGTGGTTTACTAAGCGGTGATTAGGAGGACATATGTACACAATTTTTCAATTTTAATTGCCAAATTTCACTTGAAAATTCATATTACGTTAAATTACTGTATCCTATCCAAGCATATTGTGTTTTGACATCAAGTAAGATGAAATCAATTTTCAGACATTCCCATACGGCTTCAGTACTCGACGAAACTCCTGAATAAGACTAATTTGCATAGCAAAGGAGGTTCTCACAAAATATCGGGTCGATGTGATCGGACTACTATGGAAAAGAGCCCCCAGTTCTGTTTAAAAATATAGGCCCCCATTACCTACATTTTTAAAGTTTGGCGGCGCATGCCGTATATTTTAATTTTCATACTAATGGTCTGCCTCTTCCCGTTGCTGCTCTTTTATTTTGTGCCAAATTTTACGCCAGTCTCGACAAATGTAGATGGTTCTTACTTTGTCAATTTTACAACAAGAGATACCAGGGTAAGAATAAACTATGAAAAATTTCGAAAACACGAAAACCTTACGATCGATACCGATTTAAGGTCCCCGCCGTCCCCACAACGTACTGGTGCGCAGTGGAAAAAATGCCAGAGAGGATGTTGAGGCGGAAACATCATTTGATTAAGGTATACAAGAAAATACCGATAATGGTTTGAGTCTTCCTGAGTTTTCCCGATAGTCAATTCATGATTTTTCAGCTCGAACCGATCCTGCAACCCTATGTCCCAGGGTTGATTCATCACGTTCGCGTATGTGTCTTTTTCTTTTGTCAAGTAAACGGGAAGAATTTCCATTTTTTTTGCTTATGTGCCTCTATTAATAGGCTATGTTGCATTGTTATGACCTTTTTAGTAGTTTTTGGTTACTAGAAAACAAAAAATATTTTAAAAAATTGCGATTAGAAAAACTCGAGCCCGATTTAAAATTTTCGCGCCCCCGCTAATAGTCTAGTCCAGCTTTTCAGCTTTTCGGATGTGAATCAACAGCTACAACGCCATACAATGGACCATGTGACAAGATCGATCCTTTGAAACGTTGCAAAAAAGAGAGTGCTGCCTGGGGAATTGGTTCGGCGGGGGTATGTAACACGCTACGCTGCACCTTTAGTCTTTTTTGATCAGATCAGCTATTTTCGAATTTTTATTGTAAAACTTGTAAATTTTTTATAAAGTTCGAACTTGAAAATTATTTCTTGCTTAAAAACCGTTTAACCGAACTCCTAGGCCTTCATCCTACCCGAAGAAGCGGGGTATTCAATCGGCGGTCCAGACATTGTGCCGTACTACATGATCGAGATCCACTACAACAATATCGAGCAGAAATCAGGCGTTGTCGATAGCTCAGGGCTGAGGTTGAGCGTCACCTCAAAACTTCGGTAATCTATTTGCAGAGAATATTAAATTTTTTTTACTTTGAGCCCATACGACGCTGGGGTCTTACTAATCGGTACCCCGGCCATGTCGAAATCGATGGTGATCCCGCCTGGACAAAGAGACTTTGCTTTCAAAGGCCAATGTCCGCAGGAGTGCACCGGAAATGTGAGTTTAAAGGGATACGGAATTTTGCTATAACAAGAACTGCATACAAGCACCGCAAAAACGCCAGAAATTCGTTGCAGTTCCCTGCCACCGGCATCAAAGTTTTTGGGAGTGAGCTCCATGCTCACGCAAGCGCCACGAAACTCGGGACGACGATAGAACGAGAAGGTGATAAGTACGAAGTGCACGATTTTCGCTCCCACTGTTTACAGGCAAAGCCATCGGTGATCTGGCCAGACTCGACCCATTTGTACCGGCCGACCGACATCTCCAGTTGTTTGACCCGCCAATCACTATTATGCCTGTATTAGAAAAACGAGTTTAAAACTTTTTCTCGCTGTAGGGTGATGTTCTCACTACGGTATGCCAGTACGACACTACAAATCGAACGGAGACTACTTTTGTAAGTCGATCTCGTCTGGTTATTTTCATTCTTAAAGATAAATTTTAAATTTTAAAAAGTGAGAGAGTGATAGAGAGAGAGCGAAGAAGCGAACAAGAGAGAGAGAGAAAGAGAGAGAGGGAGAGAGAGAGCCTACGCTATTGTACAAGCTCGTACGTTTTAGAGTGGCCCTGGCCATTCCAATGAAATGTGCATCAATTTCTTACTTTATTATCCGACGGTGGAGGTTGGATACTGTTTCAGTCAGCCGAAAAACGAAGCGCTGGACGGATTTTTTGGCAAAAGGTAAGTGATTTTCGCGTGGAAGTGGCGCCGGTTTTCCAAAATTCTGCGAAGTTACGTCGTTTTCAGCAAACACGCAACAGACCCATTTTCGAATTTCACCTGGACCGATGGCGGGGCACGGCATTTACAAGACCTTTATGAAACTGGGCCCTATCAGTTCAGTTGTCTCAACAAGGAAGGAGGGCCAATTCTTGTAAGCTTATCCAAAAAAAACTTTGGTTTAATTCGAAATCTATTTTAAATTTTTAAATTTTATATTTTAGGGGTCTCAGGAGCTGCATCAGCAAGGAAATCGAGTCGAAAAATGAGCACTGGCTAAAGCTCTGTATTGCCCGTAATAAAACGACATAAAATATAACCAAGTGCTAAAAGCACACGCGAATATTTGCACGAAAAAAAGGAAATGAAAAAACCCGTTCGTTAAGATGCTATGAAAATCCGAGCAAAGTTCCTGCACAGTTTCGTTTAGAAAATGCCCCGGGCATTCTGATGAAATGTGCATCAATTTTTTTGTTGTACTACCCGGCCGTCGAGGTGGGATACTGCTTGAGTGAGTTGCAAGATGATGCGCTTGAGGATTTTTCGACAATGGGTTTGTGTGGGTTTTTCGACGTGCACACCTTCGCTTTTATGGAAGTTTTGATTTCATCTGCAGATTTTAGAAATGGTGGAACCTCTTCAAGGTCATTTGCCAATTTGACTTGGGCCGCTGATGACGCACCAAGACTGCGGAAAGTCTATGATTCTGGGCCTTATAAATTTAGCTGTCTCAGCAAGGAGGGCGAGCCAATCTTGGTGAGTTCAAAAAACAATGTTTCTTGCATTCAAAAACCATGTTATTGTTTAGACACGGAGAAGAGCCGTTTGAGCGACGAGGGACGTCATTCTAGGCATAAATTATCGTGCACACAATGTGTGTAGGAAAAGTGCAATAAATGGCATTTGTTTCTCGTCACTGATCAAGTTGCGTTTCTTCCAGAATTTCAGTCCGGTATGATTCTAGCTGAAAGGTGGCGGGCTTCACCGCTCGAGACCCCCAGCTGGTCTCAATGTGCGGATCCTTGTGTCATCTCAGTGTTTAGGAAACGAAGTTTATTATCGTAAAAATGACAAGCAAAATTGCGTAAGGTTACGTGGTTAGTGGTAGCCAAGATTTTTTAGCCGGTGAACCGATGCCGAAGCCGATCCAAATAGTATTTTCTCCCTCCTTTGCCCCTTTTCTTCTTTCTAGGTTTTGATGATCGCACAGCATCGTCGCGTTTTAATTGCAAAGCGATAATCTCGCGTTTCAGCTCTTCAACTTTCACGTCAGCTACCTATGAAAAGTGAACATTTATCGGCTTACATTCCCTACTTTTATGATTTTCCGCGAGTTCCAAAACTTGTCAAATTCTTTTTGCATATCTTCCTCGTAGGCCATTTTCTCTAAATCAAAAATTATGGTCTAAATTTTTCGAAAATTACCTGCTTGCTGCACATCATCGAGTTGGATTTTGTAGTCACCCAACTGGGGGTCGCCCATTTTGATAAACACGCGCAATCGGTCGGCGATTTTTTGCAAAATTGGCCGCAGTTCGGAGAAATGGACCATCATAACGCCTGGAAATGAAAGTATAGTGTCGTGCTTCGGATTTATAGGGCCGATAGGCGGCGTTGAAAACGGATTATTTTCATTTTGTCGAAACATCATTTGTCGAATTTTTCGTCGAAATAGCATTTTGTCGAAGTCATTTCGTCAAAATTACCATTTGTCGAAACATTAATCTTTTTTATCCGATTATTCATCACAAAATGTCGAAAATTGAGGTATTTTCGAAAAAATGATTTTTTTGCAAAATGAACGTTCGAAAAAGTGCTTTTCCTGAAAGGGATATTTTGACAATGATTTTCGACAAACTGATAACCAATTTGAGAGAAAAATCGAGGCGAAATCGCCTTGAAGTTTCGATAAAAAGAAGTTTCGACAAAATGAAATATCGACAAAATGCTTTCGAAGAAATGATGCCATGTCGGCAAAAATTTGATGCTACCCACCCGTATAGCAATCTGGCAAATCCGGATATATCAGGTCATCCCATTTTTGGCGGAGTTGGTGGGACTGTAAAAAGATCACTAAACCCTCATGAAAATTATGAAATCCGAACCCATTCGTCGTCGGTATTTTTGCCATAATGGTGCGCATCATCGATGTGTAGAGCTATGGAAAACATTACAAAAAATAGATCTGGGCAAACCCGCATCAATTATCTGTATAGGTGTGAAGCCCGGCCCACGCAGTAGTGGAACTTCGGGATCAAAGCCGAGCGATTCCTTCTTCCACAAAACGAGCAGGGCACCAAAGTGATCCCCATTTCCCATGACGAAAATTGGGTACGCCGGGATGTCATCGCCAAATGCTTTGGTTTTGGCTAGTAAATCGTCGATGAGCAAGTGTAGAATAAATTGTTTTTGACGCAACTGCCAATAGATTAGGTAGCGAAAAGCGCGTTCGTAGAAAGCGTGAGCATCGATGAATGCCTTTTGTTGAGGCGTTGGGAGTGCCGTGGATTTAGGGGACGGAGCATCCCACTGGGTCTAAAAGCAGTTTTGAATCGTCCTGGAGCAAAGACAGATTTTTTAGAATTTATGAGGTGTTAAATAGTAACGCTGCTTCACTTACCTTCAAGCTAAACGGCCATGCCCTTTCATCGCCGACTGTCGGTGGCCGGTTGGGGTTGAAAACGTATTTGAAAGGCAGGGTCTTCAATTCTTCTACGCGATCCCAGCGCTCAGCCCACCTAAAGAAGCAATTTATTGTTTTTCAAATGTAATTTGTTCCAGTTTGCTTCCATGATTCCATTTTACAAGCCACGATCGACCAAATGCAACAACGTTCGTAAAACCTACCGCGACCTGACGTTCTCATGTGATGCCCAATTCTCGATCTCCGGATACGCATCAAAACGGCCCATTGATCGCACCCGATCGGCCAGGGCGCGCTTTAGAATTTCACCGACCGGTCTGGTAAACTGCGACCCGTATCGGGCCGAATTCACGCTGGCCCGTCGAACAGCTATAAAATTGCAAGATTATGGAAATTCGGTTTCACCAGTGTAATGCAGCATGTAACAAACCAATGTCATTCCGCCCTAACCTTACCCTCAAAATCCATCCGAATCTCCCACTTGGTGCCCGGCCAACTCATCCAGGGATGATTGACGCCATACGGTGTCGCCGTCGCCACCTCGTAGCCCGTACTGCACTCAACAACCTTCAGCCCAAACTTGGCGGCCTCTTCGACGTTTTTCAGTGCCCGTTCGGTCAGGAGTTTCCAGTCCCGTGTCCATCCCAAGCAACAAAAATCCGGATGCCGTGTCATTGTGTAAAACGCGAAGCTCCAGGCACAATCGAACAGCGTCGCGTCGAGCCAGAGCAACTGTAGAAAGGGAGCGTGCAGAAATAGCGAATATTGCTTCGAGTCGAGGCTATCGGGTAGCGGGATCGCATCAAAGTTGCCTTCTTTGCTCAGGGCTGCTTCGTAGTTTTTGGCGTGTTTTGGAACCTCGCCCGATGGAGTTTCGGCCTAGACAAACGGTTGATAGCATAATGAATTGTTCTCGCCTTGAACGCCTCAGCGATGGCACGCCGGATTCCATTGATTTTTTGGCTTCCGAAATCTGCTTCCCAGAAGTGCTCCCGGAAGCGGGCACTCGGAAGGTTGTAACCATGACCAGAATCTAGACATGAGGATTTCCATAGATCCGGGACCATGTCGTCCCAGGCGTCTAGGCTGATTTGCCAGCCACGTTCGGTCCTAGAAAAGGCGTTGGTGGGATTTATTTCCAATTTGCCATAAAAATGTTTTAGCACGATTAATTTGTTAAAATGGCCAAAAATTTTGGTGATGCCCCTACTCACCAATATTGATGGCCTCTTAGCCGAAAGTTCATGATCAAATCATCGAAGTCCGTCTCGAGCTCTAGCGTCTCCAACCAGCGTTGAAATTTTGGGTAGGGTTGCGTTGGTTGTTCGCTTTTCGCTTCAAAAACTTGTTGCCCCATGCTTGACGCTCCCCAGATTGAGGCGGCTGGCACGTGAATAACTTCTTGGACAGGGGCCTCAATATTCCTTCCATCTAGCCCGATTGGTTTGAGAAGAATTTTGTGGTTGAATCGGATCTCGATCGAGTGCTTGTGGTTAGGGACCTGTAGCGATGATTCGGGAGGTTTTAGCGACTAACCAGGTTTTCGAGCAGCGTCAACACTTCACTTGCAGTTGGTCGTTTCTGAAAATCCTCTTCGCAGGCCCTAATTTTTTATAGAGCATTAGATCAAAGTTTACTTTTGCACAAGGGATAAGATTTGCGCTCCTGGGGTATTTCCTTGCTGATCTTCCTGGTTGTAGTATTTTTCTTTTCGTAGAAAAGGTCTAAAGCCTATTACCGTTAGCTTTTAAGTCTCTGAAGCTGAGAGCCGGCCTAAAATTCGGATTTTCAAACCCTTGCCTTCTGGTCATTGCCTCCCACACAACCAGTCCCATTCCATAGATATCACACTTGACACGTTGCTTAAGGTATTTTATAAAGCAATAAAATGTGCCCGACGAACTTCAATGGGCACCACTCTCTCTTGCCTAACTTCCGGAGCCATATAGGAGGCAGTTCCGCGGAGTGTGAAATCCGGATCGTCCGCCATCCGCATTATTCCGAAATCCCCGATTTTTGGGGCGTAATCACGGTTTAGAAAAATGCTGTAAATTTTGATGACGCGATTCTCAAACGACTGACTTTTCCGGTTTAATATCATAGTGAACAATCCGCTTTTCTTCCATGTATTTTAGGGCATCGAATAATCCCGTAGCCCAGAAAACAATTGTTCCGTCAGTATAGACAATCTCGGGATCGATGATTACTAGAATTAACTGAATTCAACCACTTTGGGGGCCAATAGGTAAGTATTTTAGCTTATTTTGTCCGAATTTTTGCAACGCCATTCGATAGAGCGTCGAAAAATATACTAAGCGTTTTAATTTGAGCCTACAATAATGAAAAATAAAAAAGTTAGAGCAAAAAACCGATTGGGGGTGGGGGGTAAAGTAAACCGTAGCCGGCAAATACCTGAATAAAGCGTCCCACATTCACAGTACTCCATGAAAATCGAAAATTGGCTCGTATCGTCGGTTGGGTAATTTTCTGGCTGTTCATAGAAGCGTACGATGTTTTCATGCATCAAGAGCTTCAAGGTTTTTAGCTCCTTGTCGAATTCTGCCGTAGAACAGTTGAGCTTTTTCACGACCAGCCTTCTAAACATCGAAATATGTACAAAAATTATCGTCTTAAGCTTATTAAATTGCAATTGTGCGTACAGTATTTTCAGCACTTTTTAATTCAAGGCCAAAACTTACTTGCTGTGCCCCTCCACCTCGTAAACGGCACCAAAACCGCCACGGCCAATCGTTCGGCTTCGAATCTCCATTACATCGAGTACAGAAAATTAAACTTTCACGAAATGTGTTTATAAAGGCTTAGATAAGTGTAATTTAACTAGTTTTCAACCTTATCTTTCTCCACATGCCCTGTAAAATCCACTCCGCTTCAATCGACACCCCAAAAACATGGCGTAATCTATTCCCCCTTTCGTGTCAATGTTTGCGCTCGGGTATTTTAGTAGTCAATTTATTTTTATTCTTGTCAAAAAATTAGTTACAAAGTGGTTTTCGTCTTATCAGTCTTGTCGATCAATATTCAAATTTAATCCCCGCCGAACAGGCGCACTATTGATTTTCGCACCAAAAGTCATTAGTGTCTCAACGTAAAATATAGTGTATATCGACGCAGATGTGAAGCCGGAAATATGGAAGAAAAAGAAGGGACGTCATTTTCAAACAACGATAATCCAAATTCGGAAGATATGCGGAGACCTTACGATTTTATCAAATCCCGGAAAGCCACGCCGGCAAGAGGTTAGTTTTTATTAAATTTTTCTGGTTTGTAACTTATGTAGATACCTAAATATAAATTCTTTAACCAATTATTAGCATGCTTCAACATCCAAAGACATTTTAGACACGCCAAGCCCTAGCTCCTCAAAAACCGGCTTCCCGTTCGAATGGCTTCCGGTGGAACTTCGCGAGAAGGTTTACGCAAAAACCAACCTGCTTGAAAAGGTGGATTTGCGAAGGAGTGGGACGGTACGTTATTAGTTCTCGACAGAAATCAAGAATTTTAGATGTTCGCTGATCTAAAGCCGTTACCCTTTTATGCTAACACAAAAATGGACGAGCTGACGGTTACGTTGGCTTGGGTGAGTTGAAAAGTCTAGGTTTTATGCCAGAAGTAGTCAACTAAACCTTGTAGCTTCTAAATGTTCTCGTTACGATTTTAAGCTAAAATAATAATTGCTTTAAAAATCGATACCTCAAAATAGAATCCACAGGAGAACTGCCCGAGCAGCCAGGACCTGCGACGACAGGCCGGACGCCAGAATGTGAACATAATGCTCACCGATGATTTCGGGCCAGAAGTCCGAGTGGAATATATTTACGATGCTTATGGGTAAGTTAAACTTACACGCGAGTATTCGATAACTACTTCGCCATAAAAAATGCAGTCAAGTCCGTTTTTCAACTTTCATTAGATCGTAGATTTCCCTATTTTTTTATACTATTTCTGTTACCTAATGATCCTAAAATTTTTCTAATAAATATTGTCAAAAGTAATTGCAAAAGCTTCTATTTCCAGATGTGAACAAAGCTTTACTCTTTGCAAAGCTTGTAACCTCAGCTACTGGTGCCGGTCGTGCCGAAGTTGTCATGGATGCTATGATGCTAAAACTAGGTATGTATCTCTTTTCTCTCTCCTCTCTCTCACTCTGTCTCTCTCTGTCTCGCTTTTTCTCTCTTTCTCTCATCCCTTTCTCTCTCGCGCTCTCTCCCTCTCCAGTGTTAATCCATAAATCTCCAGATGCACAGCAACATGTCGCCATCAAGATGGGAAAGTTTGTATCGTCGCCAAACGATCATTCGACACGAAGAAGCAGCAGTTCGACTTCGTCAACCGGTTCACGAGGACGTTCCCGGACTTTTGGAGCTACACACTGTCGGCACATGACCGAAAGGTAGGCCAAATTGAGGGTTTTGGCTTCCTTTTTGATGGTTTTTGACGCTTGTCATCCTAGCTTTCAAGATGAAGCTTCATAATTGATTGAAGGTAGCCCGTCACGCGAAAAAGCTCGACTTCGTCCACGGCCCCTTCCGATATTACATGGACAACTGGGTGGCCGAGTTTGAGAACGAGGACAACCGGCCTAGCGAGATGGACATGGAGGAGCAGTGGGGGTTGGATGTCATTCCGACACCAGCTTTTGTAAGTTTTTTGATTTTTGTTTTTTTTTTAATATAGCTCAAGATTTTTCTTGGCTCAAACATGGATTAAAAATTCCAGTTTACAAACTGATTTTTTAAAATTTTCTCTGTTAACTTACTCAGCTACCTCTGTCCTTTTCAGGCCAGCGTGGCGCTGACCGGCTATGAAGGCGAAGACCCAGCTGATTACGCGAGCTTCTGGAGACCGGTAGGTAGCAATTTAAGAACAACAAGATAGAAGAACCAGATTGATCACCTGAATTGTGGAATACCGGAATTTTTCAGCTAAGAAATTTCCCGTTCCTCGAGTTTACGATCCCCGACCGAGAAAATGAGTGCTGGGTGGCGATGTGGGACGAGTACGACGTTTTTGAGCAGGCGCTGATTCATGTGAGTTTTTATGCTGATTTTTTAAGCTCCTAAAAGCTAGATTTCCTGCTGGACTTTAGACCAAGAAGTTGAAAAATCGATTTATTTTTAGTGCCCTCCCGAGGTTGAACAAAAACGGATAATCATCGCCGAGCAGCCGGATCATCACGACGTAAGGATCGCTCTCTCTTTCTCTCTGCCTCCCGCTCTCGGGCTCTCTCTCCCTCTCTCTCCCTCTAGCTCCCTCGATCTCTCTCTTTTTCTCTATCTCTCTCTCACTCTCTCTATCTATAGCTCTATCTCCTGCTGAACCTCTTGAGCAAATACAAAAATACAACACCAAACAAGGCAAATTCTAGGTTTTCGCCGATGGTGTCGAATTCGAAGCTCACGTCAAAGATATGCTCGAAACATTAGCGCCCAGAATTCGTGCTCAAACTCAAGCCTATCGAGCAGTTAGCACTCGGACTGGCGTTGAGGGGCCTACATCGGCGATTGTGAGTTTTATAGGACCTAGAACAACCTTATAAAAGTTTCCTTACTTTCTTAGATCGTCAAGACACGAAAAAAATAGCTTAATCGAAAAAAGCAAAATGCATCTGTTCCAAAACCTGAATTTTTAGGCCTCCCGCCTCAAGAAACGCCGCTGCATCATCATCCTCCAGAATCAAGGAATCGAAGAGGCTCAGGCGGAGATTGAGCGCCACCTCGGGAAAGGATACATTTTAGCGGATTCCTGGCAAACCTATGAGGCCTATATGGCCGAGAACTTTACATTGAGGGATCGTTAGACAGTTTGCTTGTTGAGTTTTGCCGTTACTACCTCTATTCCATCGTGAGAAGCTCCTCAGTTTTTGTTGGATCGTTCCCGGGTTTTTGATAAACATTTCACTTACAAGTTTCAAAAACACATCGCAAATAACGGATTATCTTACGTAAACAGTGGATAGCAAAGAAAAGTACTCTAGAAGGCCAGCCGGATATGGTAAAAAGTATATGTTTCCGGTTTTTTTCTAATCCATTGAGATTGGCTTCAAACGTCGACTGCAAGACGGTCAAAACATGATTTTCATTCTCTCCCTATCTCTCTCTCTATCTCTCTCTCGCTTTCCCTTTCTCTCTCTCTATCTCTCTCTCGCCTCTGTCTCTCTCTCTGGCTCTAGCTCTTTCTCTCTCGTTCTCGCGCTCCCTCGCGCGCGCTCTCTCTCTCTCTTTCTCTCTCTCTTTCTCTCTCTCTCTCCCTTTCTCTCTCTCCTCGTTTAGAAACTTTCCCAACAAGTACACAAGCGCCTAAAGTTCCACTTGCTCCCATTGGCCCACAGCAATTCCATAAATTTTTAAAGGCACCTACAAGCGCGGGAATGTTGTTGTGTTCGCGCGCTGCAAGGAGCCCTAAATTTCTTTGTTTTCCACCTCGAAGGGCTCGCGGAATCCGAAATTTCGCCTCAAATTCTGGTCTGCTGGATTCACATTTTTGTTTGACGATGAGCGTCACGCGGATTTCATTAAGTCTGGATTCCGCAAAGGTTGTCGGCTTTGGAATTCTTGCAATTACAGTGTGGTTACGGTAGCTGGGGCACGGGATAGGGCGGGGTTTAAGGCGCAGGTTAAAAGGGGCGGGAAATTTTGTCTGAAGACGGATTTTGTATATTTTGAATAGTTTATCTAATTTTTAAAGGAACTACTAAGCTAACTAAGATCAGTTTTTTTTTGATTAATAATGATTGTTAGAGATTTATTAACACAGTTTCAATTGTTAGAGTTCTATTTTTACTTTGACGCAAAATTATAAAGGAATTTTTAAAGTGCGTAATTATAAAAGTTGACTCACCGCCAATGAAAATTACCACTTTTATGGATTCCTTAATTTGTTTTCCCATCTCCAGATCGTTCCGAGAAAGCTGGGCCCCGCCGCGCACTTTTCAAGCCGTAATGGGTAAATACGAGTAAATATTAGGTTAAGGTATACGCATAACAAATGGAACAAAGTCTTCCGGATTCTGAACTATAAACCCTACGAGGAGGGTTTGGGACGTTCAGGACTCTTAAAAAGTATCTGCTAGTCTGCCAATGTGAAATCAATGACAAATTGGAGTAAGAGTAAACCTATTTTGTTTTCCTGCTGCTACAAGCGCAAAATCTGAAAACATGAAACTCCTCAAAGAATCTCTGCTAGATCGCCCACTTTGAAAAGTTTACTAAAAGCCGAATTGACGGATTTACCAGGTATCAAAACTCCCAAAACTCATGAATTTGGCTGAACCCAATCCCAAAAAAAAGTTAAAACATTCCCTAGTATAGTCTTTCGAGAAGATCTCTGCTAGCATGACTCCTCGGCATTACTTCAAAAATGGTTGTCGTTAGGAATCTCAAAATCCGCAAAGAATCTCCGCTAGGTTGTTGCTGTCTGCAAGCGTGCATCCTCATTACTCTACGCCACCTTTCCCAAAGCATAACTGCTAGCATGTCCTGATCATACAATTGAAAGAATGGACATCTTCAGCCTACTAAAAAAAATCCCTCGTTCGCAAACTATTTCTGCTAGCTTGCCCTTGCTGGGTTGCAAGGGCAACATACACAACACAGCTCCCATACCCACAAATTTCTCACCGAATCCCTGCTAGGCCTCCACCTCCAATCTCGAGCGGAAACAAGTGTTTTTTCCAGTTTCCGAGGGCTGATTTTGGGGGTCAAGTTATACGGGGCCATGAATTATTTATGGAGCTGGAAAATAAAAGTACGATTTTGCTTTGCGCGATCCAGACAATGCATTTTATCGTCTTCTCGCTTTTCCCCGAAATTTAGCGTTATAAAACTATCAAGTAGCACTTGGAATTTCACTCCCTGCAAAAGAAGAGCTTCCAGCCTTTTCATAATTCGAAATGAATCATAGAGCTTCTTCTTACCCTTCATTTTCACAAATATGTTTTTCCATTAATTTTGCTAAATTTTTAGCTAGACGACCGATTTCTAGAACTATTTAGTTTTACTAAAATCTGAAGGTATCTAGGATCAAAAAGATTAAAATTAAATAGCTAGTTTTTTAGACCTGCTTTTCACTAATTTTTAATATTAAGGGCTTCGAAAGGCATTTAAAATCCTCTAGAAATTTTTAGCGAGATGACGCACCCTTACATCACCATTTCCGGCTATCAAATATTCTCCGACAGCTCTTTCTTTGGTCCACCCACGTGAGTTGTGTCCAGCATAATTCGAAAGGCCAAAAAATCGGGCCGAACTCCCCGGCTTGCCATTTCACCCGCGCCGCTGTGTCTGTGTGTGCCTACGCTTCACGGCTGGTTAATCCCATCAAATGACGACGTGCGGACGGGCAGAAAAAAAAATTGGGAAATAGACTTTTGAAGGGCGGCAAATTCGAAAAAGTGAAAATAGGTCTATTGAAGAGATCTTGCTGTTTAAGAGAAACGGAGACCCTATTATTCTTTAAATAAAGCAGAAAATTCGTAAATTCCGGAAGTTTTTAAATTCCGCTAATCGTCTCTGCTAGCCTCCTATGCATAATCGACAGGCGCCTTTCAAAACTACCGCCTAAACGATCCCGCTGAAACTCTTTTTTAATGTGTTTTTTTTTCGAAAAATTATGCTACTGAATTTTCCAACGCGAAACCTGGTATAAGAAACATCTGCCTGTTCCCTAAAAGTCGCTATCACGGCTATTTTCATCTTCCATTTTCTGCGATGTATTTTCCAAGTGCTTAGCCTGGCTCGTTCATTGTTGTTTGTGCGTGGGCCGTCGCGCACCATAGCTGCAACTTTTATGGTCTGACGGAAAATGGCTGTAGGAAATTTGCGGGGGGGAGGGGACACGTGAATCTCCACCCACTCCACATGGCTAGGGCATTTCCCGAAAATTGTGCGTGTGCGCAATTTGGGCTGTTAAATAGGACGAACCAACAAATAATATTAGCATTGCCGTTCCCCTTTAGCATAACTAACACATAACTAACCAATACATAACATAGGCGTTACTTCCGGAAGTTGACGTCGCTGCAAATGGTTTGACACTGATGACGGTAATAGTCCGGGCCTCCTGTAGTTTGCAGTCATGGAACTGGCCATCGGACTTAAAGGGCGTCTGGCAGCAAGCCCCTTTTTCCACGACTCGTGGAAGCGTCGCGGTCGGGTGCGTCGCGGCAGGGAGAGAAAGAGGGCGCCCAGAGGAGAGACGCAGACAGAACTCTTCGTCTCTGCCCGGTCGCCAAAATGCCGTAATCGGTGTGCTGGCAGAGCCACTTTAAAGGGACCTGCAAGGCATCACCATAGATTTTTGTATGAACACGCAAGGCAGTTGACCAAAACTTCATTGCGTAATGAATTGACATGTGCGCAGCTGCTGAGCTGCCGGTGCGTTGCATGTCGCGGACGCGGCGTAATCCTTAAGCAGCCTATGGGTGACAGAATTTATCGGCCATGCGCATCCGTTTAGAAAAGTTGATCAAATTTAATTTGATGCTCTGTTCCTTGCTGGCACGCTCCCTTTAAATCATACAAAAACACAGAAAGTTCAGGAAACCTACTAGCTTTTTTCTAACTTTCAGAAAAAACTTTCACCTTTTCATTTTTTGGAAGCGATTGTGCCCTCAGACATCAGCGCAGCTCCCCTTGCACGTTTTTCTCGATTTCCTTTGGTGCAAACTACGCAAATTTTCATAGAAGCTATTTACTAATAACCCAATTTCGTGCTCGTCTTCTCCAGCAGACACATCCAAAAATTCCCAAACTTCCAAAAACACACCCTTCTCCAAATCCCTTAAAAACCAGCCGCTTGGACGGCTTCTCCGCTAAGAGGCGGGGGACTGTCTACTCCTCCGCGCCCTCCTGGCCGAAACGCGCGCGACCTGGCTCAGTATGTAAATCGAGGCAAACCTCCCCCCCCAGTTACTAAAAGGAAAGATTAATTTAATTTAAATTAAAATTTTTCATAATTTTTATCTTTGTTTGGTTTCGGCCCTCTTCCGAAGGGAGGAGCCCGCTCCTTTTCCCCTTCGAGTTGAATCTGGGACATGACGCACAGACGACAAGGACGACACCAACAAAATTATTATAGTTGATTCCTCTATTTACCGGGCAAGCCCAGATCCCGTCTGTGGCTTTACATTAATTCCAATTCAGCTTCTCGGGCTGCCAATTTTTGGTGGCAGCCCAAGGACCACCCCCCGGTCCCCAACTTCGAACCGAGTGAAATGGGCTTAATGGAGGGTGGGGGGCTCAAAATGAGTTTTTTGGGCCCGACGAGACCGAGAGTCTAGACAATGGGTTGAGGGCATGTTGGCTCTTTGGATGATTGCCAATTCTAAATGTCACTTTCAGTAAATATATTGCCTAAGCTCAATATCTGAAAATCAACCTGTTTTAATTAACAAATTTCGGCTTGTTAATGATAGATTTTTGATAATATTCGTTTTGCATTTGATGGGCGGGCTTAATTGATCATCGGAAGTAATTTATGTCGGGATTTGGCCGGGGTTTCCTACGCATTTAGCCAACATTTCCCCACTAAAATGTCGAAAAAGGAAATACCGACGACAAAACTTTGGCAAGACAAAGTATCGACAGGCCGAAACGCCGACAGCGTGGGGCGGCGTGTCGGTATTTCGGTTGTCGGCATCTCGGTCAACAACAGTTTTCTATTGTCGGCATTTTGCGTTTCGGCATTTCTCGCATCGGCCTTTTATTTGTCGGCATCTGACCTTGACATTAGCTGGTTTGTCGGCATTTCCACAATTTCCTGCGTTGCTCTAGGGAAGCGTGTCGCGTTGCGTAAATA